CATAGACCCCATCCCATGATTGAGCACTTGCTGAATACCAGACTCTAAAAACATGATCTTAAAGGTCCACTAAGACCTCCAACCCCATGGGAGGGCACTGGAGCTTCTGGGGCTGAGTTAATAACAATGGCATCACCATTATCAGGTAATCCACCCAGGTTCACACTAACATTAGTCCCCATGCCTACACTGATGACACTGGCTGCCCTCCCACCACCTGGGGGCTACAAGATGTGGAGTCCCAGCCCCCCTTTCCACAACTCCCGTCCCCGATCCCAAGCACAGCCGTCCTTCCCCTGGGCCGACCCAGGAGTGGCCCTGCCCACAGGGCCCTCTGTCTGTTCCTGGTTACTGACCCTTGACTTCCAGTAAGGCCTGTCCCCCAGGACAGCCCCTTCCTTTCCTGGCCCACAGTCCATCCCGGGGGTCCCTGGCCATCTCTGGGCAGGGACGTCTTCCTCTTTTCCCAGCCAAGATGTTGGCTCTGTGCTGAAGCCGCCTGGGAGCCCACGGTAGGTGGCCACCCTCTCTGCCTCAGCCCCCAGCAAGAGGGCAGGGCCTCTCCTGTGGGGCTACCTGTCATGGGGGCACCTCAGCCTTTCCCTACTGGCCCCCAAGGACACCCTCCTTCTCTGCCCCGCTCCCTTGACCTCAAGCCCCATCCTGCCTCTGACCCTCAAATAACAGGTCCACTCTTCCTGCATTGCCTGCCATAATGAAGTCAGCCTCGTCCTCACCCATATCCTCAGTCTAATCCCACACTGTCCCCGGCAGAGGCCTTGGCTCCAGGAAGTTCCTGGACAATTGAAATGTGAGTAGTCCAAATAGACGCCGTGAAAATGTAAAATACGCTCCAGTTTTAAGACTTGCTACAAAAAAGAATGCAAAATATCTCGCCGATAATGTTTATATGGATTAGCGGTTGAAGTAATATTTCAGCTATTCTAGGTTAAATATAACATACTGCCAGGTGTGGTGGTGCACGCCTGTAATCCCCGCTGCTTGGGAGGCTGAGGCAGGAGGATCACAAGTTCAAGGCCAACCTCAGCAACTCGCAAGACCCTGTCTCAAAATAAAAAATAAAGAGGGCTGGGGACGTGGTTCATCCCCAGGTACAGCACACCTGGGTTCAATCCCCAGGACCACATGTGCATGCACACACTCACAAACACACACACACACACAGTTTTACTTAGGTTTTCTTTTACGTAGCTACTAGAAAGTTTAGAATCAGAGGAGGGGAGATTCCAACCTCACTGTCTGCAGCTGAGTCTAATGGACAAGGCAGGGAGGGCCGGGAAGGTGTATCCTGACTTCCTTCACCCTGTCTCGCTACTGAGTCTGTCCCGGAGGGGCTGCCCCAACCAGCCTTCATGTCCTTCCCAAACCTCAGTTTGGGCTCATATGAGAAACACTTTTTAGTGAACGTTGACCCTCTTTCCTCTGGGGCTGGCTGGAGGGACCTTGGCTCATGTGGAGGTATAAATGGCATCTTCAGTGGCCCTGGGAGGAAGCACCACTGGGGTCCCAGGTCTGGCTGAGCCCTGCTCTGCCTAGGTCAGCCCCACAGTCCATTGTCCTCTCTGTAGCTCAGGATCCCACTCAGCAGCACGTCCTGTGTTTCACGGATGATGGGACCATGTGTACACAAGGAAGAAAACAGAAGCCACACCCCAGGGATTCTGTCTACACAGCATCCGTCCCCATCTCCTAGAAGGTTCATCAGCACTTACAATCCAACATTCTTGGATGAGAGGGGAGACAGACACATGTTACCCACCAACTGCCTTCCATGATGGCCAGGCCAGGGGGGGATAAGAGCAAGCCCAGGGGGACCTTGTTAAAGACCCTCAGAGAGGTCCAGAGGACAGGGATGCTGGGCATGGGAGCAGACCCAGAGGTCGTGGAAGCCCAAACCAGGGAACCTCCAGCCCTCAGGATCAGCCTGGGGGCTGGAGAGCAGCTTCGGAGGCCAGTCGGAGGAAGGAAGGAGACAGGGGCAGGTCAAACTTGTGGGGCTGGAAGTCCCCACTCAGAGATCTGGAGTTTCTCCGAATGGCCACTGAGGGTTTCTTTTTCTTTCTTTATTTAATTTTCGGTGGACACAACATTTATTTTTATGTGGTGCTGAGGATCGAACCCAGCACCCTGCGCATGCCAGGTGAGCACACTACCGCTTGAGCCACATCCCCAACCCACCACTGAGGGTTTCTAAGCAGAGCAATGACATTCTCAAAGCTGTGCAGAGATCCGGAGCTGTGTTCTTAGATGGTGCACCTGGAGGAGCAGGATTGGAGAGGTGGTGTTCAAGAGACTCACCTGTGAGTGGAGCCCTGGCCCACATGGGCCAGGCAGCCAGCAGGTGGTGAGGTTTGTTAAGGGTAAGGGCCGGGGCACCCTGCTGCTCTCTGCAGATGGCTCTCGGGTGTGCCCTTATGTCATCTGTGCAGGTATTCAGGGAGGTGGCTGTCCTCTGGGCCTGGATGAACGAGCGGGCAAATGAGTGCCATCATCAACCCCTGCACCCCGGGTCCTTGCATTGGGTGTAGCACACATTGGGCTAACATGCACCGGGTGATCATTTGATGGATTTGGCCCTGAACCCAGGCCCCTTTTGAGAGGAGCGACCGCAGCAAACACAGGCTGCTAGGGACAGGGGGAGATTCGAGCTGGGCGCAGGACACGGGACCCGGGCCCAGCAGCCTCACGTCTACCCCAGCAAGTGCCCCTGCACACCTCTCCTGGATCCCCACAGCAAATCTTCTCCCGCTGGCTCCAGCCTCTTTCCCAGTCCTGGAATTAATAAAGCCTCCGAGCCGACTGCGGTTTGTAAGTCTGAAAGCTGGTTCCTGCCCACGTCACTGCCCCAAGAGGAGTGGGGCCCAGTTCCCCACCAGAACCCCTTTCCTTCCCCCTTCCTGGGAAGAAGGCAGACACACAGATGCACCCCTGACCTCCCTCCCCTCCCAGCAGACGGCTCCCAGGCACAGCAGCTCAGCCCCTACCCTCGGACCCCTGCCCCTACCAACAAGGGCTGACTTGGGGGGCTTTAGGCGCCCCCCAACCAACACACTTCCAAATAAACACACACCATGTAAGAACTATATGTTTAAAGATGATTCTCCTAGTGTGTCCACACCTCCCAAAATTTAGGAGCTGCTTTGACCAGAGACCAGGGGGAGGCAGAGATTGCCTGGGGTCCCAGGGTGGCCTGGCAGAGAGCCATCCTGATAGCTACGCTAAAACCAGGAACAGCTCTTGAAGACCTGGTGGTGACAATGGCAGTCCCAGTGGTCCCAGAGGGTATAGAGTGCATTCGTAAGCTGCAGGCACAGGTGGAAGTAGATGACCATGTTCAATTTACCTTTGCAATCATCTTCCTGGGAAGGGACATTTGTCACCCTCTGAGAGGTGAGGAGACTCAAGCCCTGTGGAGAAGTTAGCCCACTAGAAAGTGCCACAGCTGGAACTCAGTCCCAGGTCCACCTGAGTTCCAAACCTGCGTTTGACCTCTTTCCTCCTGGCCACTCCCTGCCAGCCCTGTAGACTGCCACCGTGTTTCTGGCTGGACGAGGGGCATTAACTCATCCCTCTGTGCAGGGAAAGCCCCAGAGACATGGTCCAGACTGTCCCCTGACCGGCTGTGTCTTAAGGCACAGCTTCCTCTCCTATCCTGTGGTTCCGACATCTATTTCCCACTAGTGAGGGCTGGGGGGGGGGGGGGCATGACCCTCCCCTGATCCACCATACACACACCCCAAAACCCCCAGAGCCCCATCCTGCTCAGGCCGAGAGCACCGGGGTTCTGCTACCGGCTGCCCCAGCTGCTCAGCGCAGGCGCCCCCTGCTGGCCATCAGAGGAATGGCGATCCTGGACATTCTCCCAAGAGCAGAGAGCCAGTCCTGAGTCTGGGGCTCTGGGGTCTTATCTGGACACTAGTACTGCTCAGCCTTGGGACAGGTGGTGAGCAAGTGACAATGAGGAGACTGGACTGTCTGTCAATATGCGTGGGGCTCCCACCTCCCTGTTCCCCATAGTGACCTTTGCCAGACATTGTGACCTGTATGGAACTGTGGCCTCGACCCGTGCAGAATAGAACCTCGTATGTCAGGGTCCCCTGCATGCCCCAAAGGTCTCAGGGGATAATGTAAACGTGGCCTTCACTCCCAGGCCATTCTCCTGACTGCATTCTCCTGGCCTCTGCAAATGTCTACCACAAACCTGTCCAACACCCTGTTGCAGCTTCAGGCAGGAGACTGAGTCCTTGGCCCATGCAGAAAGGAGCCTTATAGCATTCCAGGGTCTCCATGCTGTCCCCTGTGTGCTCCAGACAGCACCAACCTTACTGGTCCTTCTACAGAGGGGCCCTCGACCTCTGCAGACATTGCGCTCTTGTCCTGCCCAACCTCCCCATCCCAACTTTGGGCAGGGCGGGTCTCTAGCCAGGCTTAGGGGTGCTGGGGTGTCTGGAGGGCCAGGGTGGGGGCTGAGGCTCAAGACAGCTGGCCTGTGTCCCCACACTGGGCCCGGGGCCCAGCCATAGGGGCGGGGGCCTGGCCACTCAGGACTTGGCGAGGGCCGGCCGTTTTGGCCGGGCTGCGGGGCCCTCCCTCCTGCTTCCTCTCCTGAGGGCCGTCCTGGCAGAGGCCCCCTCGCACTTTCTGGCGGGAACGGGGCCAGCAGCGAGAGCAGCCACAGAGGGAAAGCGGGAAAGGGATGGGGAAAGTGTGTGTGTGTGTGTGTGTGTGTGTGTGTGCGCGCGCGCGCGGGCGTGAGCGCGAGTGTGTGTGCAGGAGAAGGCCCTGGGTCCAGGCGGCCCCGCCGGAGGCTGCAGCGGGGCTTTCGTAATTGCCCCCTCCCGGCCCCCGCCGGCCTCCCCCGCCCGCCGCCGCCCGCCTCCGCCCGCCTCCTTCCCGCGCAGCCGACCAGGCAGCAATTACGCTTTGGGGATAAAACGAGGCGCGGAGAGCAGGCCGGGGCATTCCTCCCCGAGATGGCGATGGCGGGTCTGACGGCGGCGGCCCCGAGGCCCGGAGTCCTGCTGCTCTTGCTGGCCCTCCTCCACCCCGCGCAGCCCGGAGGTAAGGGCCCTGCCCGTTCCCACGCTGCTGCCCGCGCCCCAGGCGGCGGACGGACAGGGGGCCTGAGGGTGGACTGGCCGGCAGAGCCTCCACCCCCCGACCTCCCAACCTCAGCCCACGGGCCTGGAAGCGCCGGCCCCCGTGCGCAAGGGGGTCCTGTCAAAGGACCCGCAGCTCAGGACGGTCCCACCTCGTGCCAGGCTCTGCTGCCCCGAGAGGGCTGCGGGGCCCCTGCGCCACCCGGTGCGCTCTGCCGGGTGGTGCGCACCTGCGGACCAGCCGGTGTGCTGCGTGCAGCCCGCGGGGCAGGGGACCTGGATTGGAGATCACAGTGAGCTTGTGACCTCGGCAGGTTCCTCCTCCGATGGGAAGTCCCCCTGAGGAAGGTCCAGGTCAGGTTGGTTACGGGACTGCAGATTGGAGAGCTGCTGCTGTGGTCTGTCCCCAGGGAAGGGACTCGCAGAGTGTGTTTCACATGTGCTCATGTATGAACAAGTGTGTCGCGTGCTACATTGCACAGGTGTCCCTGTGTGCCCGTGCTCAAGCTTGTCGCTGAAGCAGGGGGACTTTCTGGGGTGGTTTGAACATCCACTCACAGGCTCACCGCTGGACAGGTGTTTGTGTACAGGGCAGGGGGCTCCAGGAGCTGCCACCCCACAGACAACTACACATGGAAGATCTGGCATGCAGATGTGTCCCTGGGTGTGGATTGTCACTGTGCATGTGACCATGAGTGTCTGCATGCACAACTCTGTGTGTGTGAGAGACGGGGAGTCCAAGCAAGGAAAGGCAAGCTGGGGAAGGTGACCACCTCCCGGCAGAGGGACAAGCCAGTGTCACAGGCTGGAGTGGATCCCAGTCTGTTGCTGGCCTATCTGGTGTGTGTCCAGACCCAGATGCTGCTGTATTTGTGGGACTGTCCACAGGGGCCAGCTGGGAGCCCAGAGGTGCCTTGGGCTACAGGAAGAGAGAGGTGCAAGATCACTGGCCATCTGCTGCGGTGGCCTAGGTGGGGTCTGTTTCCATGGGAACCTCCTTGCCATGAGAGCCAGACTCTGACTGGGCAACAGGTGGGGCCCAGGGTGCCTCAGGGCTGTTTCCATGAGATTGACCTGCAGGGCCAGATGCTGGGACAGGAGCTTCCTGTGCAGGGTCCAGTCCTGGATGAGGCCAAGGGATGTGGGCACCAGTGGTAGTGGGGAGCAGAGAGCCAGCCCCTGAGAGCAGTGTCTCTGGGCTGTCTGGGTCCCCTCCCCCAGGTGTGGCCCCCAAACACCCCCTCACCTCCTTCCCAGCCAGTACCACCACCTGTGAGTGGCAGTGAACCCTCCAGCTGGGAGAGACGGGAATCATTATCTCCACTTCACACCTGGGAAACTGAGGCTTGGTCAGTCTCAGGCAGAGACCGGGGGTCAGCACCAGCCAGCTCTCTGCCCTGGGTCAACAGAAGAGGGAGTTGGGATAAGGTACCAGGCAACATTGGGGAGGGGGACAGAGACCTGGAGTGAGTCCTTTAAGGGCAAAGTAACCCAGTTCCTCTAGCCCTGGTGACATCATTAATCCCTCAGAGGGTATCATTTTTTACAAAGATAAATCTCCATTCTATCCCAAACTTCTGGACTGGCTGTGTTCAAATAAGGGGCTTTGTGAATGGATAAGCTCTTATGGGGTTTGGGTGCAGAGTCAGGAGACGTCAGGAACAGATACTGCAGTCACTCACTCCCAGCACCCACCTGCATACCCTGGGGGAGCCCAGCCTCTCTGCAAGAGGAGGGTGTCAAGTGTGCAAGTTCCCTAGTGGGGTCACGACAGCATTTCCTGGGAAGAATAACCCCCCTAGAAATACCCTCAGGCTTCTTCCCCATCCCCCGGATTTCTGAGCCAATGGTGGTTTGGATCGGGGCTTTCAACCCTGGCTGGGTCCGAGAGCTCCCCAGGGGAAACTTGAACAATTCCTATGCCAGGTCCCACCCAAGGATTCCTCCTCCATTTGGTCTGGAGAGGAACCTGGATGGGGGGACATTCTTTTAAGCTCCCCAGGTATCTCTGATGAGCTGCCAGAGCCAAGAAGCTCTGGCTTAGGGATGGATCCAGCTCTGTGTGTCTGCTGGGGCCTCGGCAGGAACACAAATATGCCCCCACGTGGGAGGGGACAGAGTCACCCACCGAGGACAGATTGTTTTTGAAAAACCTTTTCCTGCTCCCCAGCCCCCCCCCCCCCCCCCCCCCCCCCGCCGGGACTTGGCTTGGCAGAGCCCCCTGCCAAGGCCCACGGCCGTGGCTCCCTCCCAAACAGGCTTTTCCCAGATCTTTGAACCTGGAGCCCAGGCTCCGGGCAGAAGGCCCTGCATGTGACTGGGGTCAGCTACAGGTCCCAGGCCAGCCCTTCGTCTCTCTGGCTCTCGGTTTCCCTGGCTGCAAAATGGGAAAAGACATCCCGTCTGACGTCCCCGCCTCCTAGAGTCAGTGGGAGCTACAGCCATGTCACCCCTGCCAAAAATGCCTTCAATCAGAGGACTGTGGGAATGTCCAGATGTAAAACGATATATTCTCGTATTCAGGCTGATGGATCCTTGCGGTTCCTTTCTAGGTTTAATTTCTCAGGTTGAATTCTCCCCCCAGGGGAGCAGAGGTATAAATGGCTGTGCGCTGATAGAGGACACAGATAGGACTCGGGGAATGGGTGGCCCAGGAGCCCCAAGAAACCCAGGAGGGCTTCCCAGTGTGGAAGGGATGTTTAAGCCAGACCTTGAACGAAAGGTCCAACTTTCTTTCGAGGGGCTGTGAGTCGGGGAGCGATGGGCCTCCTCCATCCGGGGGGCTCTGGCCGTGGAGCAGGAGAGAAGGGGTCCATTCAGCCTCAGCAGGAGGAAGATCCCTTCAGGTAGAACCGAGGGGAGGGAGGGAGCTTCCGTCAGGGGAGGTTTGCAGAAGTTCCAGCCCAGGCCAGAGACTGTTCTGATCCCTGAGAGCCGGGGATCAGGATTCTTAGCTGCAAGACAAGTTCCGCCCTGGGCTGCTTCAGTAGGACCAGCCAAACCCACATAAAACAAGATGAGTGTGTTCCAGGCCGCCAGGCCAGCTGAGCGGCCGGAGAGAGGAGCGGCAGGCCCAGGAAGGCAGAGGCAGAACAGCTCGGCCTCGGAGCCAGGGCGGGCCTGGAGGGAGGCGAGGGCATTCTTGGCAGGAAGCGCGCTTCTGTCGAGGAGGTGGGAATGCGGGTGACCCGCTGGGCTCTGCCAGGAGCCTGCCACTTCTCCAGGGCCCTTTCTCCACTCGGGTCCCATTTTCCTCTCACCTGCCCCACATTGGAAGAGAGACAGGGCAGAAACGGCTGCCCCAGGGTGGTCAGGGTTTGGGTGTGGAGTTTGGCCAGCCCTGTCCCAGATCTGAAATGTGGGCGTGGAGAGTGGGGAAAAGGGAAGCAGTGTCCTCCTCTGGAAAGGGCCTGGCCACAAGTCCAGCACCAGGAGAGAAGTGGGGTTCAGCCAGGCCTGGCAGCTGCACAAGTCTGAGATGGGGAGACCCCAGGGCAGATACGATGGGGTGAAACAGGTCAGACCCAGATCCATAAGTGTCCTCTCTGCCTCCCCTGCACCTGCTTCACCCATCGTTCACTGAGCACCTACTATCCACCCAACCCAAGCAGCAGAGTTGGAAGAAATGGAGATTAGAGGTCACCGATAGTTTCTTTGTTGTTGTTGTTGTTTTGTTTTGTTTTGATTTTTGAACAATGACTCTGGGCCAGGTACCGACAAGACACAGCCTCTTACTTGAACCCTTGCAACCGTGCAAGGCAGTGAGGATCAGCCCCACTTTGAAAAAAGGAAACTGAGGCTCAGAGAGGTTAAGTGACTTGCCTGAGGTCACAGAGATAGTAAGAAGCAGCAAAGTTAAGATTAGAAGCCGGGGGCTAGGGGGGATCTGTCCTGAGCCCCCTCCAACCCTTTCCCACCCACCTCACTGTCCCCTGCTGTCTTCTCTGGAGCCTGAAGGCAGAGAAGAGGGGAGAGAGGACCAGGAGAAAGGAGGGGAGAAAGTACAGGAAGAGAGGCTGAGGCAGAGAGAGATGCATTGGGAGCTGGAGGCCAGAGCCAGAGACGGCACCAAAGCCCCCAGGCAAGCCCTGTGTGGACTTGGCAGCCGATGACAGGGCCGCCTGCTTGTTCCCAGAAGGCCCAGCCCCCTGGGGCCACTCCTCCAATCCCCCAGGCTCTGGCCAGATTGCTCACACACTCCAGGACTGGACCGCAGTCCCCAGGGGGCCGCAGACCCCGGTGCTGGCTTTGGCATGGGGTGGCCAAGACAGCCAGCATCCCCAGCCCTGCTGAGCTCTAGCTGAGGCTGACCAGGCCCAGGGGCCAGCTGGGACATGTCACCCGGCCCTGGAGCCAGACATCTGGCCACGGTGCCTCTCAGATGCACTGCAAATCTGCGTGGCACTGCCTCTGAGCCAGCCTGTGCCCCCCAAGACGCCCCAGCCCCCAGGGACAGGGCGGGGCTGGAGCCTTGGCAAGGTGACTGGTCAAGGTTGGGAGCGTTCTGTGGTGGAGCCAGGGCCTGGTTTGAGACCCGGCTGGTTGCCATGACAACGGCTCAGGCCTAGGTCCAGGGCCAGCATGCCAGTATCCTCCAGTGACAGCTTCACTGGTCCATGGGGACCGTACTCGTGACCTTGGCCGGGGAATTAGCTGTGCCTTAAGAAACTATTCCCTTTGCTCATTCATGATGTCTCCCTCCCGGACCTGGCGCCTCCCTAAACAGCCCTGTGTCAGATGGCCAGGACTCCACCCCAATACTGTGGCCCAGTGGTTCGGGACGCTGACCTCACGCCATCCTATCAGGGTGGGAATGGCCGCAATCTTGCTGGCAGCCGCTGCAGCCGGCTCTGCCCTCCCACAGCTCTGGCTCTGACCCGGGCTGCTCAGTGCAGGAGGGAACTGTCTGCCCAGCGCCCAGCCCCAGCCCTGTGCAGAGCCCTCTGCCCCTAAGGAGATCAGGTAGCACCACATCACAGCATTCTCAGAGGCTGGGTCTGGGTTGAGCCCAGGCCCCATCTTGTTTCAGCTGTGTGACCCCAGACACATCCCTTAACCTCTCTGAGCCCAACTTCACATCTGTTAAATCCCTGAGAGTGATCCCTGCCCTTCCAGCCTCCTGGGGCTACTTTGAGAAGCGAGAATTTGAAAATGTAAACAGAACCTGCTTTGTCAACAAAACCATTACCATTCTCTCCTGTTTATCCATGTCACCAAGCTTTTGTGAGTTCTGACTGATGAAAGACTCTACCTCCTTCCTTCCAGGGGTCCCAGGGGCTGTTCCTGGTGGAGTTCCTGGAGGAGTCTATTATCCAGGTAGGACACTCAGCAGCCACGCACCCAGGCGGGCAGAGGGGATGGAGATGCTCGGAAGAGATGGCATGTTTTGTCACTGCAAGAACATTAGCATGCCTACCCCTGGGGACCCACCAGTCAGCCCCTTAGGAGTGCAGCTAACACGGCCCTGATTTACAGCTGCAAAGAGCATAAATATTCTGAAGGATAAAACACGGCTCTTGGGGAGGAGGGCACAGGCACACATTCCTACCTTAGGTTTCACCGTCTTCTAACCATGAACCCCGCTCTTGGCCACCCATTCGAGGCAAATAATTGTAAAGAACAGAAAAACCGCAGCTCACAGGAGCAGTCTTTGCAGAAATCTGCATAGCAAGCCACCTATCTGATTGGCAGGTGTGATTAACTCAACAACTCAGGCCCCAGGGCGAAGTGTAGTGTGGGTCCTAGGCTGGGTGCTGATGAGGACTGTGAGTCCCCGAGAAAGAATGGGCAGGATGTTGGGACAATGGTACGAGGGAAGGGGGACTTTTTTTCCTCTATTAATCTAGGGGGAAACATAATGTTTTTAAGTCAATAAAAAAAAAAATTGAAAGGAGCCTTTTCAATACTGGAAAGGTAGGTGGGTGTTCAGAATCAGAGGAAGCCTGGCAGGACCCCAGGGCACACAGTGGCCCCAGGATATTGACCCAGGGAGGAGAAACAGAGGGTCACAGAGGTTGACCTGCCCAAGGTCGGGCAGCCGGGCAGAGGTCGGCGGGAGGAGGGATGGAGAGCGGCTTCTCTGGAGGATGCTGATGGTTTTTTCTCTCTCTCTCCTCACAGGGGCTGGTCTTGGAGGCCTGGGAGGAGGAGGTGAGACCACAAACCAGCAGGTGGGGGGGTCCTGTGGCCACACTCACCCTCAGGGCCCAGCTCCCCAGAAGGTCCAGGTATCAAAGTCCCAGATTGAGTGTCCCGTGGGAAGACACCTGTCTGAGAACTGAGCCCCCAGACCTCTCCAGCCCTTCTCCTGGCTCTTCCCTGGGCCCCTACCGACCTCAGACCTCCACCCTCACTCTCCCCGGGGTAGGGGTAACTAGTAAGACGTGGGCCGGGGCCCCCTTCACCCCCATCTCCTCTCTCTGCAGCTCTGGGGCCCGGAGGCAAACCACCCAAACCAGGTAAGAGAAGAGTAAGAGGCTCAGAGTCCTAAGGAAAGGCCGAGAGGCCGGGAGGGCTGACTCAGGGCACTGGGGGGCAGGAAGGGGAGGGGAGGGCAGCAGCAAGGGTCCTCCTTGGGTAACAGGTGCCCAGCTCTATCCTGTAACTGCCCACGCATCCAGCTCCCCAGAGACAGACCTCTGCTCAGGGCCTCAGAAACAGCCCCAGCGCTGGAGGCCGAATTAGAGATTGAGGTCCCAGTGGCCACCAAGCCTGTAAAACAGTGCTGCAGGAGCAGGCGCAGACGAGGGCCCCAGACTCCACCTGCTCGGCCTTCAGACCCTTGATCCCAAACTAACCCCTGTCTAATCCCAGGTCGAGACCCCCGATAGGCCTGAGCTTGATGCCGGTCTGAGCCCTTATCCTGACCCCTGACCAAGCCCCAGGCTGAACCCTGACCCTCACCCCAGACGCTAAAGTGGAGCTCCCTTCTGGCCCCAGGCCTAGTCCAGCTGTGTCCAAACTGTGGAGCTTTCCAGTAGGAAGGCGGGGTAGGTCTGTCCAGGCCTCACCCCCGGGGGGCTCAGATCTGCCCCCGAGGGCCACCCTCAGCTCTGGGAAATTCACCCCAAGGGGGCGTCTCTTGGGACTCTGGGGGATGAGGAGCAGGTGGAGGCCACAGGGTCTCCACCCAGATTTATGGCCCCTGGTGTGAGATGCTGCACATGTGGCCTTGGCGTCCCCACCCGGCGCCATACGGCCCTGGCTCTGAAGCCCCAGGCTCCAGGACACAGCTTGGCTGCCCAACAGCTCTTACGAAACCCTGGCGGCCCCTGATCCAAGCACAGATGAATCCACAGACTCCCCTTCGCTAAAAGCCCATCTGCGTTGTGAAACCCCGGGGCGGGGGCCAGCAGGAGAAGCAGAGGGGTGTGTGGGCAAGAGGGACCCTGGGGTCTGAGGGGTCTGCCAGGCCAGGAGACCGGGCCCGCTGCTTCCCCCTGCTTGAACCCCATCCTGTCTTCCTGGAGGGTGAGGGCTCTTAGCAGGGTCTTGGGAGGCAGAGAGAATGCAGGGATGGCCAGACGAGCCGTGGTGTGGAGAGAGGACCGTGCACAGCATAGAAGGCCCAGGTGTGGAGGTCACACCTCCAAAGATAGAGGGTGCATTCACTGATTGACCCCATAGACAGTGGAGGAACCAGGCGAGGTTGTCATTAAGTAATGGAGGGAAGACTGAGGTACCTGCGTGCAGTCTCCAGATGGATCTTAGCTAAAGTGAAGCTTCTACTGATGAAAGACTTAGGTTAGACTTCCAAAAGAACTTCCAACTCAGGCCAAATGAATAGACCAAAAGGAAAGTCAGGATATCTCCTTTGGAAGCCAAGAGCACTGTCTGGAGGAGGAGGGCTGGATTCCATGACCTCCCTAAGGTCACCTTTCAGCCTCAGGATTTAGGGCTACAAAGGCTTTGGCAGAGCCAATGTGGCTACCCGAACGAAGCTCCCTACATCCGGGCTAGGGGGACATCCGGGCCTGCCCAGGCAGGACGGAATGGGTCACAGGCAGCGCATGTCAGGCTTGGGAACAATTAATCCCTTGGTGATAGAGGGTGGGTGGCCTGGCAGCTGCTCCTACACGTGGGCCCCGCAGGCTGTCCCCGCCCTGGTTCAGGCTCAGCGGGGGACCAGGCAGCTGGGAGCCTGCACTGCCCACACCCGAGCTCTAGCTGGAGGACAGCTGCCCACCCAGAAGGGGGGGCAAGGACAGGACGGGCTGGGGGCACCCCTGGGCGCGCTGGTTCCCAGGAGGCAGGGAGCTTTAGGGCCACCTGCAGATGGGGAAGCTGAGGCTCAGAGAGGGGAGGTGACTCGCTCCTGCACACAGAGCCGCAGGGGCAGAAGGATCTGAATCAGAACTTTCTGACTCCAGAAATAAAAGTGGTTGGGCTGGGGGCTGGGGGGGCTCTGGGCCGTGTTCAGCCCCTCCCCTTTCTCCTCTCCAGGTGCAGGACTCCTGGGGGCATTTGGAGCAGGTGAGTCCAGGGAAGGGCACACACAGGGGTGGAGCTGGCCCCAGGGGGAGAGCATTCTGGGGGACCGAGGGAGAAAGACAGATGATGCACAGGGGCTGTCTGTCCCCAGGCCTGACCCCACCCCTGCCCCAGCCTCTCCTTAATTCCACTCTGGTCCCATCTCTTCCTTCCAGCCCCTGTGGACAGGAAAGATCCAAGCATGTCCCCTGCCCCCTGGGAGATCAGGAAACAGACCTGGCTTGGGGACAGCCACTGCCAGAGCCAGGAAGGTTTGGGGACAGCCACTGGCTTGGGGACAGCCACTGCCCGAGGCCAGGAGGTTCACCAGGCAACCCAGGCCCTGTCTGTCCACCTCCAGGGGCAGTTACAGACCCATCTTACAGAGGGACTGCCTGAGCTTCCCAAGGCCCAGGCCACGCAATTAAGAAGTGAGTGGGGCCAGGCACAGTGGTGCCCGCCTGTAATCCCAGCGGCTCAGGAGGCTGAAGCAGGAGGATCGAAAGTTTGAGTCCAGCCTCAGCAACTTAGTGAGGCCATAAGCAACCTAGTGAGACCCTGTCTCAAAATAAAAAATAAAAAGGGCTGGGTTTGTAGCTTGGTGGTTAAGCACCCCAGGTTCAATCTTCAGTACCAGGAAGAAAGAGAGAGAGAGAGAGAGAGGAAGGAGTGGGCAGGGCTGGTTAGAAGAGAGACCACAACCAGCGCGAGCCCACTAGTCTCCCCCAGGGCTCAGCAGGCCCCGTGCTGGAGGTCCCTGGAGAGTGTTCCCCCGGGGCCTGGACCCTGGCAGCCAGGACTGGTGCTCGCAGGAGAGATTCTCATAATTGGAAACAAACTTGTGTAGCTGTAAAGTCCAGCCCGATTGCCCATTGTCCCAGACAAGGCCGAGGAATGTCCCCTGGGAGGGGCAATGGGGCCCAGATGTGGGGAGGAGAGTGCCAGGGACCCATCTGGCTCTAGCCACGAGGCTCCTGGACTGCAGGGCAGGCTGGACAGAAGGACAGATGATGGGGACAGACCCAGGTGAAGTCAGAGGCACCTGCGAGGGAGCGGGCAGGCCCAGGTGGGGCCCCTGGCTTGGCTGAGGCCTAGCCTGCAGCCCGTGCCCAGCTCTGGCCCTGCAGGAAGCCCTGCTGCCTCTGGTTGGCTGTTAGGGGCACAGCCCCTCCCAGGTCGCCGGGGGCTTCGGCACAGTCCTGTCTACACAGCATAGCGCATGGTCACTCAAGGGTGGCTACCCTTTTAGCAGAATCACGCAACGTACCAAAGGCCTAAGGAGCAGCTTAGAGACCAGAGTTGTGACCTGCTCGTCACAGCGCTGCCAAGGTCCTGCCCCCACTCTGGGAGACCCTTCTCCCCATGGGCCAGGGCTGGTGCCCACACACCACCTTCCTCTCATCTGCTGTCTTTCTCCTGCAGGTCCTGGAGGGCTTGCGGGCGCTGGCCCCGGGGCAGGTGAGTGTGGACATGCCCAACGGGACTGGTAACTAGGTCCAGTGGGGCCTGAAGCTAAGACCACTTGCTTTGAGCAGCCATGTGGGGCAGGAGGGGGGTCCCAGCTGGGTGAGGGGACTATCACAAGGTAGTGATGAGGACCAGATGGAGGCTGCCCGGGGCATCAGCTCCCCAGGGCATTTGGGAAGGCATGGGGGGGTACTTGGCCCAAAAGATCCTGCTCAGTGGAGCCGGGGGCCCCCTGGCCTCCAACACAGGGTCCAGTCCTCCTGAGCGGCCATGGCTTCCTGCTGAGGTCTTGCAGGGAGCAGAGGGGCCGCAGATGAGTTTCCTGAGTGGGCAGGGCTGGCGGGCTGGGGCTGGGCAGTTTCCAGGGCGCCGTGCCCAGGACCTCACCCTGTCCTCTCCTCCGCAGGGCTGGGAGCCTTCCCTGCGGGTGCCTTCCCGGGGGGCGTGGTGCCAGGTGGAGCTGCTGGAGCTGCTGCAGCCTATAAGGCTGCCAAGGCTGGTGAGTGGGACCCTTCAGGACGGGTCATCAGCCCCTGGCTTCCCTGGGCTCCACTTTACCTTCTCTTGCCCAGGGCCTGCAAGGCGGATGGGCAGGATCCTCATCTCCAACTTGCGGAGGCTCGGGAGGCAGCCAGGGGGGTTAGTGGCAGGGCCAGAGCTCCAGGGCCTCTGCCTTCCGCCGTCCCTCGAGTGACCCCTCCACCTGGCCCTGCAGGTGCTGGGCTCGGAGGCGTCGGCGGAGTTGGTGGGGTTGGTGGCGTTGGAGGAGTCGGTGGCGTTGGCGGAGTCGGTGGCTTAGGAGTGTCCACAGGTAAGGTGGCTGACCTGAGTCCCCTGGGCGAAGCCAGCGGGCCGTGGAACCAACCCTCACGTGCCTCCTGCCTTGCCAGGTGCCGTGGTCCCTCAGGTTGGAGCTGGAGTCGGTGTCGGAGCTGGAGCGAAGCCAGGGAAAGTGCCCGGTGAGTGTGGAGTCCCCGGGGCTGGAGGGCAGAGGTCAGGGAGGGGCAGAGCCCCTTCCCCATTGTGCTCGGGGAGAAGGGGCAGGGCCTGGCCGCAGCAGGGCGGGGGAGATGGCCAGGTCAACAGCGTGGGACCTGCTTCTGTGGAACGGGGCAGAGGGCCCCCTGGCCCTTCCAGGAACTTGAAGCAGAAAAATGCTTCAGAGACAAGCTCAAGCTTGTGGCAGGCTCTTGGGTGACCGTGTGGACACTGAGGCTCAGCATCGAGAGTCAGAGTGGGAGGGGCTGTGGCTGGCCCTGGCAGAGCCAGGGTGACATCCTCTGACTCTTCGTCTGGTCCTCATTCCACCCCGCCAAGCCCTGTAGGAAGTGACTTGAGGTTCAACAAAAGGCTGCCTGTCCACTCAGCAGGGAGGGGACATCTGGAAGCTGTTAGCCAGAGGTGGGCTGGCTCCAGGAGACAGACAGAAATCCATGCTCGGGAGGGTCAGCAGATGACTTCCGAGAGTCGTAGGAGGAGGGACGCCGACACCCAATGTCTGTCCCTGGCTCCTGCAGTGGGCACAGGGCTGCTCGTTGGGATCCCTGGAGCTGCCTGGGTGGGGGGCTGGCGGAGTCCCTGGACACTGAGCTGATGCTCATGGTACCTCCTTCTCCTCCTGCCTCCAGGTGTGGGGCTCCCAGGTGTATACCCAGGTGGCGTGCTCCCCGGCACAGGTGAGGACCAGAAAGCAAAGGGAAACTTCTAGAAAGAAAGCAGCCCCCATCAGCCTCCCCAAAACCCCACCCCCACAGGCAGAGGCCGTCAGAGGCCTTGGGTCCTGGTCAGTGGCTGTTTTCTTAAGTGTCAGAGCTCCGGCTAGTGAACTAAGCATCAGCCTCCCTGGCCCCACCCAAGCCCTGACCCCAGGCCCCAACCCCCCTCACAGCCCAGGCAGGCCCCCAGGGGTAGACGGAGACCCCAGTGTAGCCAGCTGTTTCCTCAAAGTCGTGAGTCACCAGGGGGCCTGCCCAGCAGGTCTGCCCTGCAGGAGACCCCGAAAAGCCGCCCCCACCCCCTTTCCCTGCCAGGGCCTGCCACCCCACCCAACATGTGACCTCCTGAAATCCCCCAAAAGCCCAGATCCAGGCGAATCTGTGGGATTTGCTGACAGAGTGGCCCCCACCCCCTCGGGGTCAGGTCAGTCAGCCCAGCCCCAGGGCAGGAGGGAGAGGAAGGAGACCCTGGCACTCAGTCCCAGGCCACCGCCCGGAGGCTGCTCTGCGCACACACAGCCACTTTGCCCTGACTCTGGCACTCCGTGCTTCTCCCCCGAGGGTGGGCAAGGTGGATTTGTGATGAAGTCCACTCAGGCCTAAGGCCACGTGACTGCAAAATAGGGTGAAAGCTCGGACCTTCTGACTTTGGGCCGGGAAGGGGAGGAGAGTGCCCAGCAATAGGTCCCTGTGAGCCATGCCCATCACAGACAGATCCACCCAGAGACCCGAGGCAGGAGAAGGGCCAAGGAGGGCCTTCTGCCGTAGCCATAGCCCTCTTTGCCCCGCAGGAGCTCGGTTCCCTGGAGTAGGGGTGCTCCCTGGGGTGCCCACCGGAGCAGGAGTCAAGGCCAAGGCCCCAGGTATGCAGCCGGCTGGGCTGGGCCCCTGGGGGAGGCTCTGCATCCACTTGCAGGCTCCTGGGGGCTGGACTGTGGGCCATGGGGGGATCCGGGGCCTACTCAGGGTCCTCTGGAGGGCATTCTTGTGCCCAGCCCTGGTCCTACAGGCCAGGAAGGGCAGCCCGCTGCTCAGAAATCCCAGACTGTGTGCAAGGACGGGACGAGCTGCGAGGTCTGGGTACAAGTGGCCCCTGCCAGAATCTGCCTGCCCCTCTGTGCTGCCTGGCCAAAGTTGCCCCCCGGGGCCCTGTGCCCATGGTGCCAGGGCTGCCGTGACAGGACTTTGTCATTGCAGGTGGAGGCGGAGCTTTTGCAGGAATCCCAGGTGAGACAGGGCTGACCATCTCAGGCCAGGGGGAGGACAGGCAGGTGGCCAGCTGGGCAGGGGCTCTGGCCCTGGGAGGAGTTGGACACCCAGCATCCATCCAGACCTGGGAGTCCCCTCATGGCTCCCACTCGGGCCCTGAGCTGACTTTAGCACGAAGGGACACCGATCCCAGGCCTGTTCCCACCCCCAACCCATCTGCACAGAGCCCACCCTTCCAAACCCAGCCCCCTTCAAGGAGGGCAAGACTATCAGCTTCAGCAGGGGTCCAAGACCCCCAGGGGGTCCTGCAGTTCCCCAGAAAGTGGCCTGTTGAACTGCTGCTGTCTGAGCAGGAAGCGGCGTCCAGGGAAGGCGTAAAAGGGGCTGCTGGCCCAGGGGGCTGGGCCCTGATTTGCTCTCGGTTTCCACAGGGGTCGGGCCCTTTGGGGGCCAGCAGCCTGGGGTCCCACTGGGATACCCCATCAAGGCACCCAAGCTCCCAGGTGAGTCAGGGGGGCTTCAGGAAGCAGGACTTGCTGAGACTCAGCCTGGGGGGACAAAAGTGTCGGGGGGGGGGGGGGGGGGGACTGGTATTGAAGTCACTTCTGGTCACCAGTCAAAGAAAACCTGGGGAAACCCAGCCACAGATGTTAGGCACACGTCCCTGTGCATGAGTGCGCACGCACACAGAGACCCAAAGCTCTGAGGGAGAGCCGTTGTGTTGACGGTATTGGACACCATGGGAAAGAACCCCTCACCATCAAGTCACCCGCAGGGCCACCCCTACCTCGGCTATCAGCCAGTGGCATTCTTCCCGTAGAGAGGGACCCAAGGACGATGCTCAGAACTCAGGGCCAGGTGGGCCCTGGACTTTCAGGGGGAGGAATGTCCCGTCAGACCCAGGGGGAGGGGGTCCTCCCTCCTCCACACAGGGCTCTTGGGGGAGGGCGGTCTGTCCACCCAGGGGGGCAGCCCTGGAGCCCACTCTGCTCTCTCCTCAGGTGGCTACGGACTGCCCTACGCCAATGGGAAAGCACCCTTCAGTGAGTCCGCCCTTGTGGGCTTCCAGCCTTAGGGGCCCAGAGAGGGTGCTTCCACCCCAGCCCTGGGCAGCAGGGTGGACTGTTGGAACGGGGGTCTCCAAAGGACACAGCATGAAATGTGGCCTTGGCCTGGTCCTCGCTCCGGGCCTCTCCCTCTCTTGAGGTCTCCAAGAGCCTGTCCTCTTCTGTGCAGTGGGAATCCCAGGGCCACGTGCCCATTTGTATTTGTTCTCACTCCTGATGGGGGTGACACAGGGACATTCAGGGCAGCAGGACCCTGCAGGGAAGGGGAGGGACGGCAGAGGTGGCCAAGTCTGCTTGGGTAAAGGTGACGCCAGCCCTCTCCTCTGGCAGGCTACGGACCCGGAGGAGTGGCTGGTGCCGCAGGCAAGGCCGGCTACCCAACGGGGACAGGTGAGGCGGCCTGGTCACTCCCAGGCCAAGGGGCCCTGGTCACTGTGACTGGCCAGTGTCCCTCCAGCCCTGCAGGCTCTGCCTGCCGCAAAGCCCCTCCTCACCCGTGTGTCAGAGGGCGGGTCATCCTGGGGCTGGAAGCAAGTGGGCACCATTCTCAGAATCTCCCCTCCGACCCCTGTCCTCCCCCAGGAGTGGGCCCCCAGGCGGCCGCAGCGGCAGCAGCTAAGGCAGCGAAGTATGGTAAGCACCTCTGGGGTCCTCAGCCACCCCCAACCCACCCGCAGCACCCCCTTACAGTTGAGAACCGCCTCACAGCTGATACAGTGGCCCCCAGGCCCGCATTGATCTATCCCTCCCTCGACTCATCCCTCTCCTGTCCATCCACCCCTCCTTCCATCCATCCCTCCCACACCTCCCCTCCCCACCCATCCCTCCACATCCCTCCCTCATTCCTTCCTCTCTCCATCTCTATGTCCCTTCCTCCATCTATCCCTCTGTCCCTTCCCCCATCTATCCATCCTCCCATCCATCCATCCATCTATCCATCCATTCCTCCCTCCCCACCCAGCCCTCCACCTCCCTCCCTCCCTCCCTCATCCCTCCCTCTCTCCATTTCTACTTCCCTTCCCCCATCTATCTCTCTGTCCCTCCATCCATCTATCCCTCCATCCATCAATCCATCCATCCATCAATCCATCCATCCATCCCTCCCACTCCTGTCCCTCCCCACCCAGCCCTCCACCTTCCCCCCTCCCTCCCTACATCCACCTCTATGTCCCTTCCTCCATCTGTCCCTCTGTCCCTTCACCCATCTATCCATCCTCCCATCCATCCATCCATCTATCCATCCATTCCTCCCTCCCCACCCAGCCCTCCACCTCCCTCCCTCCCTCCCTCACCCCTTCCTACATCCACCCCTACGTCCCTTCCCCCATCTGTCCCTCTGTCCCTCCACCCATCCATCTCAGAGGTGGGGGCAGCGGGTGGCAGCTTAGTGGAGGAGGTTGGCCTTGTCATAGGAGCTGAATGGAGAAGAGGGACACATTGTTCCTACCTGGGGCAAATCGGGGAGGCTTCCCAGAGAAAGTGATGTTTGACTCCAGCCTTACACTTTATGAGGAGCCTGCCTCGAGGTTGAAAGAGGCAGGAGGAGCATGAGCAGGGGGGGGGGTGCCTCGGTGATCAGAAAGACCGTTTGAGGTGGGACCTACACAAGCATTTTTAAAACTTAATGGTTTTGCATCCATTTAATGCATACCATAAAACCTTAACGCGTTCCTCAAGCCCAGATCTCTTGGATGGCGTTGCCGCAGTATGGCGCAGGCATCCCATTCCCGTGCCATGCGCAGGGTGGGCAACTGTCCCCTGCCAAAGAAACCCTCAGTTCAGGGTCAGACCACAAGGGCTGAAGTCCCCTCCTCTGTCCCCAGCTCCAGGGAGCCCTTTCTGTTTCTAGGGTGGGTCAGAAGATGTCTCCCACCAGCCTGGGGGACAAGAATGTGGGGAGGGGGACCTGCCCTTGGGGGCCCCACAGGCCCCCCTCAGGCCCCAGAGGCCAGCAGGGGCTGGTGGGGACGACTGGAATGCGGGAGCGGAGAGCAGGCAGGAAGGGGCTGCCAGGGCCGGGCGGCCAGGCACTTGGATGACGAACTTGGCCGGGTCTTCGGAACACAGGGAAAGGAAGCCTCGAACATTCCTTTGGGGGCCCCTCTGGCCCAGGGAGCCAGCGGCTTGTGGTTTCTCAGTATGTGGCAGTGATTAGGGCTGGATCTGTCCGGAAACGTCCAACTCCCTTAATGAGTGTGTGGAAAGGGACCCACTGGGCTTCAGGAGCCGAGGCAGGGCCCCCACAGCACAGCCCGAGGTGCCAGGGCCGAGTCCCCGGTGGAATGGTGCTGGTTCCAATGCCAGCCTCCTGGAGACCTTCCTGTGCGGCCCCAGGGGGACCCTGGAGAGCCACACACGCTGTCCCTGTCCCACCAGGTGCTGGAGGAGCTGGCGTCATCCCTGGTGTTGGAGGTGGTGGCATTCCTGGCGGGGCTGGTGCGATTCCTGGGATTGGAGGCATTGCAGGTACTGTCAGGTCCAGCAGGGCTACAGGTGGCCTTGAGCGGCCACAGGCAAAGGACCTCACCCTCTGTGGCTGTCCTTCCAGGGGCCGGGACTCCTGCGGCTGCTGCTGCTGCTGCAAAGGCAGCCGCCAAGGCTGCGAAGTACGGTAAGTGCCCCGGATGGCAGGTCCAGGGCACAGGGCCTGCCCCAGTCTCCTTGTGAGCTCTGGAGACCCAGTCCTGGGTAGCTGGAGGGATTTGCCTGTGTCCACCTGGGGAGCCTCCTTCTCCCCTCCCACTCCTTGAACTTTCCCATTCTGGTCACTGCACCTGGGATGCCATCTCCTTGTTCTCTGTGAATTGAATACATAAGGGGCCCTAGGGAGCTCTGGCTCCTCCCCACCCATCCCCACACTGCCCCCATGCCCCAGGGCTGTTCAATGGCCGAGGTGCCCATGGGTGGTAGTTCTGATCTTGCTCTAGAAATCAATCATGCTCTTCCCAGCCGCAGACCCAATCCTGCTAGTCCTTCAGGCTCTCAGAGTTCCTCCCGACCTCTGAAGAGCTGAATCCATGCAGAGCAGATGCCAACCCACCTGAGCAGCAATCCTGCACTCAGACCCTTACCCTTTAGTTCCCCTAGACCCCTGCTCTTGGGGGTCTTCAGAGGCCCCCACAAGGCTTAGGCCAGAAGAACAATCCTTTTTCTTCGCAGGAGCTGCTGGGGGCTTAGTGCCTGGTGGGCCAGGAGTTAGGGTCCCAGGTGTTGGGATCCCAGGTGTCGGCGGAGTCCCAGGTGTTGGGATCCCAGGTGTCGGCGGAGTCCCAGGTGTTGGAGTCCCAGGTGTTGGAGTCCCAGGCATTGGGGTCCCAGGTGTTGGGGTCCCAGGCGTTGGGGGTCCAGGCATCGGGGGTGTACCAGGTAAGCTGGACTTGCTCCTTGTGTGTGCATGTGCGTATGTGTGAGAGAGAAATAAACTATTGCTGAGATTCTGGGGTCCTCCCCAAGACCTCACTCATCTGTCCACACCCTCGGCTCTGCCTCACCCCTTCATCCTCCCTCCCTCGACTATAACAACCTCCCACCTAGCTGCCACCAGCACCAGCTCTTCTATTTTCCTTCTGGCTGTTGCTGTGCTGCCAGAGGCAAGAATCACACCTTTTTCACCTCTGTTTCCAACACTTAGCTGAGTAGGTGCTCAGTAAATTGTGGATAGATGGGTGGGTGGATGGGTGGGAAAATGGGTGGTCACATATTGGCCATGCAGATGAGCAGGCAAATTGATGGATGAAGGAGTGAGTGGGTAGAAGGATGAGCAGATGCAAGAATGGGTGGATGGATGGATAGATAGATAGATAGATAAAAAAAAGTTGGATGGAAAGATAAATACATAGATTAAAAAGACAGATGGATAGGCAGCTGGGGGACTAAAGTAGTTAGAAGGATGGATAGATAGATGGATGATTGGACGGATGGATGGATGGATGGATAGATGGATGGATGGATGGATAATTGGACGGATGGATGGATGGATGGTTGGATGGATGGATAGATGGTTGGATGGATGGATGGATGGATGGATGGATGGATGGATGGATGATTGGATGAATGGATGGATGGATGGACGGACGATTGGAGGGGTGGGTGGATAGTTGGATGAGCAGATGGATAGATATGTGGGTGAAAGTGTGGACCAGCCAATGCAAAGTGGACAGCTGGGCAGATGTTTAGCTGAATGGGTAGGTAGGCAGGTGTGTGGGTAAGTTGATGGATGGGTGGGTGCATAGAGGAACAGGTAGGTGATAGGTAGTTGGACTGAGGTCCAAGGATAGACAGACAAATGGACAGACATAGAAGTAGGACAGCAGGTGAATGGATGGCTGAGCAACTCTATCTTAACTTGATAGAGAGAAAGAAGATGGACAGTGGGTGGAGAGAGGACTGTGCGCTGAGCATCTCTCCTCTCTTTTCTCCTGAACATTTGTGTCCCTTTGATCTTTTCAGGGGCCGTGTCACCTGCTGCTGCTGCCAAAGCAGCCGCCAAAGCAGCCAAATATGGTTAGTGTCCTGCCCAGCCTGTCTTGGCCTCTACTTGCCTGAACCAAAGGGCTCTGGTCTGCTTACTCAGACTTGCAGAGCAGGTCCCTGGCAGAGCTGGGACATGGAGGGGGCGGGCCCCAGGAGAGCGAGTGTCTTCCCAGTGGTCCCCCACCATGAAGCCATAGGCTGAGAGAGTCCCAGAATGACTTTCCCCAGAGAGAGACCCCCTCAGAGGAGCCCAAGCCTGGGGATGAGCCTGCTCTCAGTCTCCCCCACAAAGGGAGCCCTCTCCAAGTACTCAGAGAAGAGGGAGGTCAAGGGGGGACTGGGCTTCGTGGAGGAGGCAGATGAGGGGCCCAGGCATCCCTGTTTCCTGCCCTTGAGGACCGGACGTGGGGGAAGCGGACATCTTTTCCTCCTGTCCTCCTTCCCTGAGGTGCCTCCTCGCCTGGTTATCTTCCCTCTGCAGGGGCCAGAGCTGGAGTGGGCGTTGGAGGCATCCCCACGTACGGGGTTGGTGCTGGGGGCTTTCCTGGCTATGGTGTTGGAGCAGGCCTTGGAGGTGTCCCTGGAGCTGGCCTTGGAGGTGTCCCCGGAGCTGGCCTTGGAGGTGTCCCCGGAGCTGGCCTTGGAGGTGTCCCTGGTGCTGGCCTTGGAGGTGTCCCCGGAGCTGGCCTTTCCCGTGAGCCTAAGTTCTCTCTAGTAGAGGGGGGTGGGGCTCCCCAGCTGGCTCTGCAGGGTGGGCAGGGAGTGTGGGCTGGACTTCAGTGTGCTCAGAGACAGTGGGGACAGGGCAGGACTCTCGTGCCTTTCGGGGCCGGGAGCTGGAATTCTGCCCGCTGAGATGGGGTCTGAGAGTCTGTCCCCTCTTCCCTTGTAGCTGCAGCCCAAGCAGCCGCTGCGGCTAAAGCTGCCAAGTACGGTAAGTGGCCCTGCCCTGCCCACCCCCAGTCCCTGTCCTCCCCCACCTCCTGCTCCCCAAGAACTGAGCACTGGACACTCTTCTGTCCTCCAGGTGCTGGAGGAGCTGGAGCCCTGGGAGGGCTGGTGCCAGGTGCAGTGCCAGGTGCAGTGCCAGGTTTAGTGCCAGGTGTGCCAGGAGCCGCAGGGGTGCCAGGTGAGCAGTGTCCCCCACTGAGAGACGGGTTTGGTTTGTCTCGCAGAAGGGTCCCTGGAGGTGGATGGAAGCATCCGCATCATTTTACAGATGGGATGGCTGAGCCCAGAGGCGGGGAGGGACCATGATCTCCCCAAAGTAGCCCAGAGGGAAGAGCCTTCCATGGGGCCCAGCCTGCTGATCCCTGGCAAGGCCCCTCCCTGCCTAGGGATGCTGGGGGATGTCACCTGGCTTGGTGGCATCAGATTCTGGGTTCCACCCCTAGCACGGCAAAATTTAAAAATAAACTAAATTAAATTAAAAAGCAATTCATTTCCTGCAGTAGTTTGGATCCTGGAGCTTTCAGGATTTTAAAGAATTACCTGCATTCAAAGTAGAAAGCTCCACAAATCCTTTGGGGTAGGTCTAGGAGAGGATCATGGTGCCCTTTCCGATCACTACTTTGGCCCAGGGCTGGATTCTCACAGGCTGCTTGTCAGGGCTCCACCGAAGCCCAAGAAGGGCAGGGAGGTGCCCGGGGGCCAGGGGTGGTCCTCAGAACCTCAGAACTCAGGCTGGACCTGCATGTGCGTCCCCGTCTCCAGCATAAGGTTGTGGCACAGGAGAAACTTCTGTGGGGGATTTTGGGAGGGCTGAGAGGGGGCAGCGGGGCTGGGGATGGCTCCCCATTCCCTGTCTTCACCCACCCAGGAGTCGGGACCCCTGCAGCTGCAGCCGCCAAAGCTGCCGCCAAAGCTGCCCAGTTTGGTAAGTGGCCCCCCAGGGCCCGACCCCTGTTCCAAAGCATTGCTCTCGGGTCCCCTGCTCAGAGGTTGGTCATATTCTGACGGTGGGGACTCTCCTCGCCTTGGCTCCTCTGATCAGCTCTGGGGGCTGGTGACATTTCAGATTGGGGAAGCAACTCAAGTTGGCCCTGGAGAGCACTCCCCCGCCCACCGTCCTCCACCCCAGCTGAACCCGGCCCGGATTCTGGGCTCCATGCTGGGTTCCCTCCACGTCTCTCTGAGTGACTAGGGTCCTTCCTGCTACCTTCTGAGGGCCACCCTGGCAGCCCCAGGCACACACACTTTACTGAAAGTGGCCAGTGGTGGCAGCCCGGCCAGTGATCCTTCTTCTTCCGATCAGAATCCCAGGGCCCATGAGGCCCGAGAAGGTTCTAACTCCAGGTTCACCAGCCTCCTGGCTCCCAGGAGGCCGGCTCTACTCAGCCCCTCTGCCAAACGTGCAGACAGAGGCCCCAGCCTTAGGAACCTGCTCACGGCCACAGCTCAATGGCGGCTGAGCAGAGGTTTAAACTAGGTCTGCCTATCTTTAGTAAAGTGCTCCCTTTCCCTGTCACTTTCAAGTCTCCAGGGGTCCTTGTCCCCCAAAAGGCCTTGATCTCCTGAACTTGCACAGACTTTGTATTGGGGAGGAGGAAGCTGAGACTCATCATGGGGAAGTGTCCGGCCCAGGGTCTCGTGGCCAGTCTGCCCTGGCTGGGGCAAGAACCCACGGCCCCTGCCTCTGGACCCAGGGCTCTTTCCAGCACCTTCCTTCTTCTTTGCTCAGGCCTTGGTTAGCCAGGCCCTGGGCAGCTATGGGTGCTCTTGCAGGATTGGGCCCTGGAGTCGGCGGAGTTCCTGGTGGAGTTGGGGTTCCTGGTGGAGTTGGGGTTCCTGGTGGCATTGGAGTTCCTGGTGGTGTCGGGGTTCCTGGTGGCGTCGGGGTTCCTGGTGGCGTTGGGGTTCCTGGTGGCATTATTCCCGGTGGTATCGCAGGTGAGTGTCGTGTCTGAGAAGCCTGGGGGTCCCCTGCAGCCCCCATGGGCACCATCCTGAACCCCCCTCCTTCCAGGAGCAGGACCCGCTGCTGCCAAATCCGCTGCTAAAGCTGCCGCCAAAGCTCAGTACCGTGAGTGCCCACCTCTCCCCCGTGCCCAGAGGGCCCAGGGCCCCCGCACACACCAGACCCACTCTGTGCATCCGGCAGCATCATCGGCCCCAAGAGAGCAGGCGGAGGGCCTGAAAGCACAGATTCAGGGAGAGGGAGTCCTGGGTTCCAATCCTGGGTCCGAAAGAAACTGAGTGACCTTGGGGTTCTAGCCGGGGAGTCAGCAGCCCAGCGCCCGCCTCGTGCAGAAGGCTGTCAGGAGAATTTAGTGAGTTCACCCGAGATGGGAGGGCAGCAGGCAAGGCAGGAAAGGAAGTGGGGTCTACACCGCAGCCCCAGGTTCCAGCCTGTGGATGGGCTGGACTTGGTGGTCAGTGGCCATCTCAGGAAGACTCTTCCAGGGCCACAGAGCGATGGATAAAGGTAGGGAGTCTGGAGATGGGGACAGAGCCATGGAGGAGGTCGCTGCTCCACCAGGGGCCCTTCCCTTGGGGTTGGACTCAGCTCTCAGGGCGGGACATCTCCAAAGGGTCAAGCTGCCTGCTGCCCAGGTGGGCTCCCTGGAGGAGGAGGCAGGGCTCAGTCCCACTGCCCATGTCCCCACAGAGGCAGCTGCTGGGCTGGGTGCCGGGGTTCCCGGATTAGGAGCTGGTGCCGGGGTTCCTGGATTTGGAGCTGGTGCCGGGGTTCCTGGATTTGGAGCTGGTGCCGGGGTTCCTGGATTTGGAGCTGGTGCCGGGGTTCCTGGATTTGGAGCTGGTGCAGGTGAGGAGGTTTCTAGAGGTTAGACAGAAACTGCCCTCCCTGAGCTCAAAGGCAGGAGACCCCTCCTCCTCCCAGCACAGCTCCCCCTGGCACCCAGAGGTGCACAGTGAACCCTCCATTAGATTTTCCTGGGCAGTCAGAGACAACTGGGGTCCCAGGGGGAGGCAAAGCCAGACAGAGGTCTCCAGGCTGCCAGGTTTCAGAGGGAGCCATGACAGGGCTCCAGACCTCAAAAAAGCCCACCTGTCCCCCCAAGGAAGGAGGTAGGAGTCCTAGGGTTGGTGGGCAGGTGTAGGCCAGCCCCAGGGCCTTCAGGAATGCTCCACGGCAAGGGGGCCACTAGGAACACCAGTTCTTCACCATGTGATGACTGAGCCCCACTCGGTGCCCAGCCACAGTGGGCCTGGAGGGGATAGGAGGGGACAGGTGGAGGGAGGAAGCACAGGTCAGCCCTCAAGCCCCCACATCAGACTGGCAGTGGCCTGGTTAGACAGTAAGCCCGATATCTGGCGACCAGAACTCCTGGCAGGAGGGTCAGGACTTGGGAGCTCTGAGGAAGCACCGTGGCCAAGGAAGGCAGGGTGGGCTCCCTGGAGGAGGAGGCAGGGCCTCAGGCAAGGGCTCAGCTGCTGACCCCCCTTTCCCTTGTCCCCAGTGCCTGGATCTCTGGCCGCTGCCAAAGCTGCCAAATATGGTGAGTGTGACCCCCTGTCCCTGCCACGCCACAGCGGTACCCTTGCCACCCCGCCGGCCTGACGGCACAAGGCCAGGTGGGCAGGACAGAAAGAGGCAGTGCCTAGGTCACGTTGCTGGCAGCTGCAGTTCTGGCCCCTGCCCACTAAATGCTTGTGGTGCCTCCAACCCCTGTGACAACCAAAACCCCCCAGGGGACAGGAACCAAGGCCCCTCTGGCCCTGACAGTTTCTTGAGCCCTTGTGCAGGGTGGTGCAGGCCTACACTGGTGTGAGGAGGCCGGCAGCCTCCGCCTCCTTCCCCACCCTTTGGCCAGAGCAGAGGGGTCTGTTTCCTGCTCCGGGCACCCCCGGCCCCCCTCCCTGCCTTCCTGTCAGCCTCGAGGACGTGGCAGAGCTGCTGGCCTTGCCACTTGGCACTCTGGACGTCCCGCCTGGCCAGACCCATGTCTGTGGCCCCCGCATTCCTGGCCTCCTGGGAGCCAGGAAGGGGCCTCCACCAGAGACCTGCCAACTGGCCCCCGTCAGTCCCCTTGGGGCCAGTTTCCATTTCGGAAAATCCCAGCTTCCTCAGCCCCACCCGCCGCGGCCCCCTGGAACCCAGGGCCGATTCTCCTGTTCCCCACGGGCCGCTCTGCCGGCCTGAGTCAACCCACGTCGCCAGGGAAACGGAGCAGTGTGGTGGGTGGTGTAGCGGGGCGGCTGTGGACTCCGGTGGCTCTTGAGCTGTGTCCTGCCTGTGGAACGAGCACACCGATTAACCCCTGCTTGCCTCTACTTTCTCATCTGCAAAATGGGGGCATAGCCGGCTCTGCCTTTCCTGTCATGACGCAATGAGCTAGATAAAACTCACGGAGCCCCGTGAACTCCTGTGCATGAGCTGTGCAGAAGCCACCCACACAAACCATAGGATTTGGCACTTACAGAGTACATAGCGGGTGTGCCCTACTCTCACACACCCAGAGGGCAAGCAGGGCATCCTGCAGGGCATAGGGACTCTGGGGCTCAGAGAGGCCACAGCCATGTCAAGTGGACAAGCCAAGATTTGAACCCAGGGCTGTCAAGAGCTGAGACCAAGTAGTCCAGAGTCGGCCATGTTCACAGCCACACTGTCACTCCAGCACGGTCCAGGGAGAGGAGGCCTGTCCACTCTGTGTTGGAGACGGAGAGACCAAGGCCTGAGGGGGATCCCCCTCACTGACGGCAGAGCCAGGAGTCGGGCCCGGGGCTCAGGGACAGTCCTTCCCCACTCTCCTCCCACTGGTCACATGGGCTGGGCCACCTATCTGTTTCCCTTGTGTCCCTGGGTCAGGGAGACCCATCCTCCAGAAACGGGGGCTGATCCTCCACCCTCTCTCCGCAGGAGCAGGGGGCGCTGGGGCCCTGGGAGGCGTCGGGGGTCTCGGTGGAGTAGGAGTCCCAGGTGGCGTGGCAGGTGAGTCGCACCTCGGGAAGGGCTGGCAGGGAGGGAGACAGGGACCTGGGACAGTTCCTCCCTGAGCTCCCGCTGTGTCCCCAGGGGCCGGACCTGCCGCCTCTGCTGCTGCTGCCAAGGCTGCTGCCAAAGCCGCCCAGTACGGTGAGCACGGGACGTGGGGAGCCCCCGCCGGGGTCCATGACGGGCCCAGGCTCCGTCCACCAGGGGACAGCACCGTCCCTCTGCAGGCAGACTCTGCTAGGACTCCCTGACCTGCAGGTTCAACGTCTGCTCTCTCCACAGGCCTCGGGGTCGGTGGGCTCGGAGCCGGAGGACTGGGGGTCGGTGGGCTCGGGGCCGGAGGAGCCGTCCCCGGCGTTGGCTTTGGAGGTGAGAACTGTTCTAGAATCAGCAAGCATGAGGCGCATGTGTGTCAGACAGACAGGGAAAGCCTTTCTTCCCCCCGCCGGATACTGCTCAGCCTTCCTGAGCAGCAAGGTGAAACAGGAGAAAGCAGGACCCAGCGGAGCGAGGGACAGGGACAGGGCACCTGGGTGCCCCTGGGTGACTGGAACACAATCTGAAGCCAGGTCGGATTTCACTCTCAACCAGCTTGACAAGGTTTCTCAGCAGGTCACCCAGTCCCTCTAGAGCACTTCATATATGACATCGTGAGCCACTCCACTGCTCAGGCTGTCCCCTCTCCCAGGACGCCTCCCCCTCCCCCACCCTGCAGTGCATCTGCCCATGGGGTTGGGTGGACCTCGCCCTCCCCACCGGGTCCCTGAGGCTGCAGACCAGGGCTGGGCAAGGGGCAGCCAGGCCACCCAGCAGCAGAGGTCGCCCACTGTCCTCTTTCCTCTCTTCCGACCCACTGACCACCACGAGTGGGAGTTCCTTGGAGGGGCGGTCAGGCCCATTTTGCAGACACGGAGATCAAAGTCTGGAGAGAAATTACTTTTCCAAGTCTGTGCCCCCATGGCCAACCTGATGACATTTTCCTCTCTCTCGGGTGGTCATTGGGTCCCCCTACCTAAACTGGCCTGCAAGACTCTCCCTGTGTGCTCCACAGGATGGGACACACAGCAGGAGCTCAGTAAAGGCTGTTGGAAGGCTGGATGGCGGGGGTAGGGTGGCTAGATGTGGGAGGACAAGTCAGGGCCTGAACTCCTCGTCCCCCCGTGCCCCGTCTCTCCAGGTGTGTCCCCAGCTGAAGCTGCTAAAGCAGCCAAATATGGTGAGTTGTCCCTGCTGGCCTCCTCCAGCAGGCCCACTAGTGGCCCTCACCCCTGCCGTCACCCCCACCCTGGCTTAGGCCTCCCTCCTGCTCAGGGTTCCCCTGAAGGTCTGTGCAAGACAAATCCTGGCCCCAGAACGGAGACAGAGGGATGTCAGGGCGCCCACACGCGGGCCTGGTCCTGACCCCCATCTGCCCTCTCCTCAGGTGCTGCTGGCCTTGGAGGTGTCCTAGGAGCCACCAGGCCATTCCCAGGTGGAGGTAGGGCTGGCTCTGCTCTAGCAGAGGGGGCTCGCGGAGCCCACATCCACAGAGGACCCGAGGCTGGGGGTGGACAGGGCGCTCCAGGACAGGACACACCCTGGGCCAAGGGCAGGCCTCGGGGTCGAGGCAATGCCAGAAAGTTCAGAGGCGTCACATCAGGGCACTTGGTGGGGACACATTTAGTTGAGGAAGCTGCAGGGGAGCGCGCGGTGACAGGGAGACTCGGCCCCAGACAGGCTTGGGTGACCAGGGCTTGCCTCCCCCCGGCCGCCAACCCCTAGTCTCCCCTGCAGGAGTGGCAGCGAGACCTGGCTTCGGATTGTCTCCCATTTTCCCAGGTACACCCAGGCGCCGCGCCCCGGCCCTGTCCTGAGCTCTGCCGGGTCCCTCCTCCTCCCCTGCTTCAGCTCCTGCTCAGAAGGGCTGAGCCGGTGTCCAGGGTTGAACCCCACGACCCCAGGTCACACCAGGCCAGACCCCAAGCCGACACAAAGTCGCCCCATCCCCGTTCTGTCTCCTTCCTCTCCAAGGACAGGGAAAACATTGGCTTTTCTAAGCCACATTTCATGCCTCTGGGGTCCTTGGGGGACAGATGGCTTCTCCATCATGTTCCACATGAGGCAAACTCAGTTCAGGGAGTGCCAGGGACCGCTCCAAAGTCACACAGGGAGCTGAGGCCGAAGCCCAGAGTCAGCCCCTCCCGCCACACACCCTGTGCCAGCCTCACCAGCTGGGAGGGTGTGGTGGGCTCCCGGGAGCAGGCACCCTCAGCCCCTCTCCTTGCCTTGTAGGTGGAGGCGCCGGGGGCCTGGGAGTCGGCGGTGAGTTTGCAATAACAGATGTCCCCTGTCTGGGGGACTCAGGGCCCCAGCTCCTTTCCTGGAGTAGAGGGAGTGGCTAGTGTGGCCATAGCCCTGGGCAGGTCCTCTGGTATGGGGGGAGCCTCAGGAGGAGATAGTAGCCAAGCCCTTGGGTAGCCATCGGAGCAAGACAGGGACCTGGATCACTCTGGGGCAAGGGACTCACTGGAGAGACCGACAAGCTCCAGAGGAAGGGACAGTAGAGCTGTCCCATGGGTCAGGTCGAGGCCAGGCAGCACACGGGGGTCTGACTGGGATGGGCTGAGGCACCTGCTAAGTGGCCAGACCTCCAGGGCCAGGCCACTGAAAGGCCTCTGGCTTGGGCTGTGGAGGACAGGTTCAGGGCATGGGCAGGCTGGCACAGGAGGCCTTTGCCACCTGCAGAGACAGGACAGGCTGGGCACACAGCAGGGGCGCTGGGAGAGCCCTTCCCCAATCGCACCCTTCCTCCACAGGAAAGCCCCCCAAGGCCTATGGAGGGGCCCTGGGAGCCCTGGGATACCAAGGTGAGTAGAGACGCAGCTCTGGGAAGGGACAGGGGACAGGAGGATGAAGACAGAGGCCAGGGTCGGGGGCCACTAGCCTGGGCCTGGGGGAGAAGCAGGTTCCTGAGCTGCTGCCCACCCCCACCTGTAGGGAGGGACCCAGGGAGAAGGGCAGGGAAGGAGAGTGGCTAGAACAGGGGCACCCAAGCCAGAGCAGTCAGAGGTGGGCAGGAGGGTCATCGGCCACCAGCTGGAACTTGCTGGAAAATGCAGATGAGCCCGTGGGAACTGTGTGGTGTAGGTTCTGGTCACCTGCCCTCGGCCACTGATGCTTCAAGTTGTCCAAAGCAGGCATAGCTCTGGCCTCGGTCCCGCAGGAGAGTGGAGGCCCTTCTGCGCCCACCTGCCTGCAGTACACAGAGGAGGTGGCAGAGTCCAGGGGTGGTAGGGTCAGGGACAAGCCCAGATTGGCCTTTCCTAGGTTGCCAACTGTCCATCAGGCTGATGCCGGTGGCCTTATCGAGGGGCTTTTCAATCACCTAGGATGAGCATCAGAGAGATGCCACATGGGCCCTGTCCTCCGTCCCCTATTTGTCTGCTGGTTGCCACCAGGTGGCGGTAACGAGCCACATGTCACTCCAAAGGTGGGAGGGACTCCAAGACTCCAAGACCAGATCCAGTGGCCTCTTACCCCAGAGGGAGACCAGAAACCATTTACCAATCAGACCCTCCCCCAGAATCCCGCATTCCTCTTCCAGCTCAGGCACAGACTCTCCCTTTCTCTGGACCTCAGTTTACTTTGGTGATAAACCCTCCCCTTCAAGGGCCCACCCCACCCCCTTAGGCGGCCATCCCTTCCAGACACCTGGACTCCTCCTTCACCCCATCTGATGGGGCTGCTCTGCAGGATGCCCAGAAGCAGGGGACCCTGTCCAGCCTGGTACTTTCCCAACCTAGCCCCCCACCACCAGCCTCGATTTCATCAATGACACCTGGGGCCCGGCTCCCACCCCACCTGCCCAGTGGGAGTTTGACCTGGCTTCTCCGAGCCTCTGCTTGAGCAAGCAGGGGGCTTATGAAACAACCGGACGCTGGGCACGGTGGCACGCACCTGTAATCCCAGCAACTCAGGAGGTCGAGTCAGGAGGATCAAGAGTTCAAAGCCAGCCTCAGCAATTTAGTGAGGTCTTAAGCAACTTAAAGAGACCCTGTCTCTAAATAAAATACAAAAAAGGGAGGGGCTGGGATGTGGCTCAGTGGTTAAGCATCCCTGGGTTCAATCTCCCATAAAAACAAACAAACAAAAAAAAAGCCCAGGGTGAGGGACACCGGCTGACCTTTGTGTGCATCTCCCCTGCCCAGGTGGGGCCTGCCTGGGGAAATCCTGTGGCCGGAAGAGAAAGTGAGCTTCCCAGGACCCCTGACTCGCGACCTCATCAACGTTGGTGCTACTGCTTGGTGGAGAATGTAAACCCTCTGTGATCCCACCCCAAGCCCCACTCAATGCCCACCCGGGAGGGGACGGTAGGCCGGCGGCCTTGGAAATCCACAGAACAAGGAATCAAGAGCAGTGGCCACGTGCCCCGACTGGGAGGCCACCAGCTCCAGAGGCCAGGGCCGGTGGGCTCAGCCCCAGCCCCACCCCTCCTCCTGGGAGCTCCCCCCACACAGTCTCCATCTCCAGGGGAAATTGGTGCTACTTGTTGGTGCTTTTGTCTTCCTGGGGGGAGGGAGGAGGGTAGGGCAGCCCCTGGGGGACCCCCACCTGGGCTCCTCTGAAGATGGTGCAGATGCTTCCTGGGCAGTCCCACCTCCCCCTGCCCACCAGGAGCCACCCCCGGCTGCGGTCCAGCTGGTACCCAAGCACCTGAAGCCTCAAAGCTGGATTCGGTCACAAGATCCCTCCTCTCCTTGGGTCCGCTCAGCCCTTTCCCCCCCATCAATGGCTGTTCCCCACAACTGGGGCACCTTTGGAGTCAGAAGAACCCCCACTCACACTGGGAATAGCCCCCTTGCTCTTGTGGAATCCATGTGTCCGTCCATCCACCCAACCGTCCATCTGTTCATTCTTGTCCCCAGTTGACCGCCTGGTGCCACTAGCTGGCTGGGCATGCCCACACCCACCTGGGTAACCTCCCATGGCAGCCTCCGCCCCTGCCACACACCCCCGACGCTGGCCCAGGGTGTGAGGGCTGTGTGGGCTGGGGCGACAGGACTCTCGTCCCCGGCCTGGGTCCCCCCACATGCAGTACTGTATCCCCCGTCCCGCCCTCGAGCCACTACTACAGAGCATGTCCCGTCCCGCCCTCCCCATCTCTTCGTGTCTCGCTGTGATAGATCAATAAATATTTTATTTTTTGTCCTGGATATGTGGGGAATATGTTTGATTGTGGATGTTCTCTTTGGGTTTTATTTTTGTGGTTCATTGAAAAACATTTTTTTCCTCTGATCTGGGGAGCTGTATCTCCAGTCGAAGATTCATTTTAATCACTTTGATATAACTCTGGATGAAACACACATATTTTTTAAATAATTAAAAAGAATTAACTGCTTCGGAAAAGACTAATAAATCAAATCCTTTTAAAGGAAAGTGTGTTGGGCTCCTTTGTGTTTCTCCATCTGCCTTCAGCTCCGGGCCCAGTGGGAACAGCGCCCCCCGGTGGGGAACCTGGAACTGCCCCTGGTGTGTGGGGAGGCTTCTGGGCCCTCCATCCCTCTTCAAGGTTGGCTTGTCCTTTGGCAATGGAAGCCTCTCTGCAGGGAGGCAGGGCCTGGACAGCCTCTTCCACAGAGGTGGGTTCACCCACTGGCCATATCTTCCCCTGCTCTTGTCCCAGAGGCCCAAATCCCCAAGGGCAGGTCTTGGTGGGTGGCCTCTGGAGCCTGCAGATGGAGGGTGGAGGAAACAAGGCTGACCCCTCTGTCTAGACCTAAGCCTTGAACTTCACGAACAGCCACGAAGAGGGAGGGATGGTCAACCTGAGCACATTCAGAAAGGAGCTGAGGATCCCCTGCCGTCCGTCTCCCCAGGGAAGACCCCCCCTTCCTGAGGGCCCACGGAGGCACCACTTCTCTTCATTTTGCAGCGTGAAAACTGACGCCCTGAAGCTGGGCGGTCCCAGCAGCTTGGGGGCTGAGGCAGGAGGCTCCCAGGGCCCAGGCCAGCTCTGCAACTCAGCAAGACTCTGTCTCAAAATTTTTTAAAAAAGGGCTGAGAATGTAGCTTAGTGGTAAAGCACCCCTGGGTTCAATCCCCAGTACAAAGGAGAGAGAAAGGAGGGAGAAAGAAAGAAAGGAGAAAGAAATGACACCCTGCAGGTGGCAGGGGGACACGGAGCACCATCCTTAGGTGACCCACTCCCACACTCCATCCTGCTCCCCTGGGAACTCCGAATCCCCAGGGCCCAAGAATGTGCTCCCCTGGAGGCCACATCCGCCCTGCTCTGGGGGTCAGATTCTAGAATTCTCTCCCCAAACCACTGAGCCCATTTCCGGGACCCTCATGGCCTCCTGCAGCCTGGGCTGTGGGCAGACCCTTGTCAACGAGGAGGGTGGCCCAGGAGCTCTGTCGGGGATGGGGATGGCACTCTCCCTGCAGCGGGAAAGCTATGCCTCTTGCAAGCAAGGACCCTCACGGGGTGGAAAGAGTGGCCTTGCTCAGGCCAGTAAAGGGCAAAAGAATACAGTGGGAGGCTGAGACAGGAGGATCACAAGTTCAAGGCCAGCCTCAGCAATGGCAAGGTGCTAAGCAATTCAGTGAGGCCGTATCTCTAAATAAAATACAAAATGGGGCTGGGGATGGGGCTCAGTGGTTGTCTGCCCCTGAGTTCAATCCCCAGTACCCCCCAAAAGGAAAAAGAATAGAGTGAGGAGGAGTTGGGGGGCCAGACAGCCAGAGAGCCTGGAGGGAGAGGGAGAGCTGAGGACATCTGGAGGACGGGTCAGGAGGCTGGGAGGGTTGTGGTATTTATTGTGGTCCAGGGTAACTGTCCAGTGACGGGGACCCAGCCTTCCCAAGAGTCTGGCAAAGTTGACCGGACACCGCTCATTCATTTCCCCATTCAAGGAGAAAGACCTTCTCGGGATGCCTCCGCAGCCCGCTGGCCTGAGAAAGTTGGCAAGACTCGGTCCCCAGCCCTGGCCCCTGGCTTGGGCTCTCATTACTCATGGCTTTAGATGTCACCTGTACACTGGCAACCCCCAAACTGACGTCCCCTGCACGGGCTTCTTCCCCCAGCCCAGGACTTGCACGCCCGAGACCAATTCCAACCTCGCCATCTGGAAGTCTTAGAGATGGAGATGTGACCTAGCAGGGCTCTTCCTGTCCACCAAAGCTGTCCCCTCCTCGCCTTCTCTACCTCAGGGAATGAATGCAGCTCAGGCGGACCCAGGAGCCACCTCTCTCAGGTTTTCCTGCCTCGCTCTCTGCAGCAGTTCCACCAATGAATTCTGAAGCATGACTCTCAGAATAGACCCAGGGTGGTCCACCTCTCCCCACCTGCAGGGCAAGGCCCTGGCCCACCAGCCTCTCGGCCTGGGTTCCCGAAACAGCCTCTGGGTCCTTCCCAATTCTCCTTCAGCCTTCTCTCTCCCGCAGCCCAAATGACCCTTTAAAACGGAAGTTGGTGAAGGCCATGACCCTGCGCAAGCTACTTCAGTGGCTCCCACCTCCCCCAGAGCACAAGCCAGAGGCTGTTCAATGGCCAGGGAACCCCTCCCTTGGTTGCAATAGCTCCCTCTCCTGCTCCAGAACTTAAATGGCACCTTATCAGAAGGTCCCTCCCTGGCCCTGTCTCTCTCTCTCTCTCTCTCTCTTCCTCCCCCCCACCCCGCCAGGGATTGAACCCAGGGGCACTTAACCACTGAGCCCCAGTCCCAGCCCTTTTTATTTTCTATGTAGAGACAGGGTCTTGCGAAGTTGCTTAGGAACTCAGTAAGTTGCTGAGGCTGGCTTTGAACTTTCGATCCTCCTGCCTCAGCCTCCTGAGCTGCTGGGATTACAGGCATGCGCCACCATACCTGACAGGATGGATGAGTACTGTTTTAAGAACAAAATAGATGAAATTCCTGCCTTTATTAATTAGAAGTTCTGGCAGGAAGATATGAGGGGCTGCTCCAGGCTGGTAATGACCCCAAGGACATCCAGGTCCCATCCTCAGAACTCATGAACGCCTCTGTTTCCTAGAGCTGCCCGTAACCGGACAGCGAGGGACTTAACTAACAGGACTGCAACTTCTCGCCATTCTGGAGGCCGGGGCTCTGGGATCCACTGCTGGGAAAGACCTGTTCTATGAACGCTCCTCTTGTGGACTTCACACGGCCATCTTCTCCCTGCACCGTCGCCTGCCTTCCTTCTGTGCCTGACTGTGTTCTAATCTTTTCCACGAAGGACTGTGAGTACAAAGGATTCAAGGATTTCGAGGATTGCGAATTTCCAGGATTTAGATTCGAGGATTCGAGGATTTCGAGGATTATATAATCACACTCTGAGCCACCGGGGCACGGATTTCAACGTACGGGTTCTGGGGAGACAATTGAGCTAGTAACTGTTGCCATATATGGGGAAAGGGTCTTCGCAAATGAACTTGAGTTAAAGATCCTGGTGTGTCCCAAATGCCATGATGAGTGTCCCTATAAGAAGCTGGAAGGACTGCAGGCCAACAAATGGGAAAATCTAAATATAATAAGTAAATTCCTGCAAACGCACAACCCACCAAGACTGAATCATGAGGAAATAGGCCATCTGAACAGATCAATAATGAGTAAGAAGTTGAATCTGTAACAAGAATTCCAACAAAGAAAAGCCTAAGACCAGATGGCTTCCCTGGAGAATTTTGCCAGACATTTAGAGAATTAACACCAGCCCTCCCAAAAGCCTTCCAAACAATTAAAGAGGAGGGAACACTTCCAATCTCATCCTATGAGGCCAGCAGGACTCTAATATCAAAACCAGACAAAAGACACAAGAAAAGAACTACAGACCAACATCCCGGATGAATACTGATGCAAAAACCCTCACCAAAACTCTGGCAAACTAGATACAATAGTATATTAAAAGATCATAGGCACCTAGACACAGTGGCACACACCAGCAACTCAGTAGGCTAAGGCAGGAGGATGGCAAGTTGGAGGCCAGCCTCAGCAACTTAACAAGGCCCTAAGCAACTTAGCAAGATCCTGTCTCAAAACAAAAAAAAAAAAAAAAGGGGGTTGGGGGCCGGGCACAGTGGTGCATGCCTGTAATCCCAGCAGCTTGGGAGGCTGAGACAGGAGAATCGTGAGTTCAGAGCCAGCCTCAGCAAAAGTGAGGTATTAAGCAACTTGGTGAGACCCTGTCTCTAAATAAAATAAAAAACAGGGCTGGGGGTGTGGCTCAGTGGTAAAGTACCCCTGGGTTGAATCCCTGGTACAAAAAAAAAGTAAAGGGTTTTCCTGTTCACAAGACAACATACTCCTACATGTAGAAAACCCTAAAGATTACACACACACACACACTCACACACACACACAAAAGTTGTTTCTATGTACCTACAAGTGACAATATGCAAAAGAAATTGAGAAAATAATTCCATTTATAACACATTTGCATCAAAAAGGAATAAACCTAATCAAGGAGGTGGAAGACTTGTCCACTGGACCCTACAAAACATTGCAGAAGAAATTAAAGATGACACAAAGAAATAAAAAGACATCCCATGCTCATTGAGTGGAAGATTTAATATGAAGACGTCCATAGACCCAAAGTGATCCACGTCCTCCACCCAATCCCTAGCAAAAGCTCAAGAACAGTTTGTGCAAAAACAGAAAATTTTATCCTCACATTCACATGGACTCTCAAGGTGCCCCAGAGGACCCACACATTCAGAAAAAGAACAAAGTTGGAAGACTCACACTTCCCGATATCAAAAAGAAATTACAGAGTTACAATGATCAAAACAGTTTGGGGGCATAAAGTCAGACACATCATCTCATGGGCTAGAACAGAAAGCCCCAAAGTAAGCCCTTGAATATATAGTTACTTGATCTTCAACCATTTAACAAATGGGGCAGAATCTTCAAGAAAATTATGTGGGGAAACCAGACGCCCACCTGCAAAAGAATGATGTTGGAGCCTTATCCCGAGCAACATAGATGAACTCAAGGCTAAAGACCTAAATGTAAGACCTCAAACTATGAAAATTCTAAACAAAACAGTAGAAAAGCTTCACATCATCAGATTTGGTCATGATTTCTTCGATGTGACACTAAAAGCCCAGGCAACG